TCCGCCACCCTCTCACTCTCTTCCCTCCTCGTCTCCTCTTCTACCTGCCTGCGAATTTGCCTGCTGGTCTGCTCCTTACCTCGCCATCCCTGGGGGGCTGCGAACTGCAAGACTGTCGCCAAATTTGAAGCTGCTGGGGGTCCAGCGGAATGACGTCCTAGGCGGGCTCAAATTCGACCTCGCCATCCCTGAGGGGCTGCGAAGTGCGTAACTGTCGACATTGGTGCAGGCGGCTGAGGGGCTCCAGCGGGGTCGCGTCTCACGCGGAATCAAATTAGAGTTCGCCGTCCCTGGGGGGGCTGCAAACTGTGACACTGTCGGCACTTTCGCAGGTTGCTGGGGGGTCCAACGGGGCGACGTCTCACTACGAACCGCAAGACTGGCGCCACGTTTGAAGGCTGTTGGGGGTCCACCAGAGTGACGTCTTACGCGGGCTCAAATGAAACCTCGCCATCGCTAGGGGGCTGTGAACTGCGAAGCTGTTGCCACTCTTGAGGGCTGCTGGGGGGTCCACGGGAGTGGCATCTTACGCGAGCTCCAATCTGACCTTGATGTCCCTGGCCTCCGCCCCAAGCGGCTGCAAATGCAGGGGCCCAGGGACAAACGAACAGATACACACAAATCCCAGGATTCCCAATAGTTTATCATATTTTCTGGGTTTCCCATCCATTTCCCATATTTTCTTATATTTCCCAGGGGGTCGACGATGAATTGTGTCTGCTTTTTCCTTCTGAGTAAACCGCACCGTTCGATTGCAAGGCTCCCCCGACCCGCCTCGCACACACCCTGCATCATTGCCGCGGCCGCCGGGCCACAAGGGATTCCCGGCGCTCCCGGGGTGTTTCCCGACTCTCGGCGGCGAGCGAAGGGGGGGGGGGGAAGCGAGACGAGATTATGGGGGCCGACGAGGTGGTATGGGAGGCTCCTGTGAGTTACCACCGAAATGAAGGGGCCCTGGGACACACAAATAAATACCCACAAATTCGCCGGCCCAACGGGCCAGAGGCGTGCTAAGATCTCCGGTAACTGGTTAACAATTGTATGTATTGTACTAGTTCGCGCGCGCGGGGCGGCCCCTGGGGGTCCCCCGGCGAAAAGTACCCCGCCCGCCGCCTGGGAAGGTCCCGCCCGGTTCAACTCAGAGATGGTTTTCCTTCTGGGTGCGGCCTCTCAGGCCGCCCTGAGCGCGCCAAGAGTGCCCCAAGAGGCCCCCAAGATTGCTCAAGAGGCCCCCGAGACGTTCAAAGAGCGCTCCAAGGCGCCGAAGATGACCCCAAGACGGCCCAAGAGACCCCCAAGACAGCCGAAGAGGCCTTCAAGACGCCCCAAGAGCCTTCCAAGAGGCCTCCGAAGAGGGCCCCAAGAGGCCAAAATCGTTGATTTTCATTGTTTTTTCCGATGTTTTTTGCGTTCTGGCTTTTTCGGCTTCCGGACGCTCCAAGACGACCCAAGAGGCGCCCAAGATCGCTCCAAGACGGCCCACGAAGCTCCCAAGACGGCCCCGAACGGCCCAAGAGGGCCCCCAAGACGGCCCAAGTGCCGCCCAAGACGGACCAAGAGGCCCCAAGACGGGCCCAAGAGGGGCTCAAGAGGGGAACCGAGAACTGAAAAATCGAGCCCTCCGCCCCAGAAGGCGCCCAGGAGGCCCCAAAAAGGCCCCAAGAGGCCCCCAAGACCCCCAAGACGCCCCAAGAGGCGCCCAAGAGGCCCAAAAGAGGCCCCAAGAGGCCCCAAAACGGCCCCCAAGAGGCCCCAAAACTCGGCTAGCCCACAACGGTGCGACAATATGGGCCGGCGGAATGAGCGAAGCGATTAAATAACAGGATTCCCCACATCTCCCATCTTTTCTGGCCTTTTGTCTTCCCCCCCACTGCCCAGATTTTCCTACATGTTCGGGGGAATCGACGATCGATTGTGCCTGTGTGTTTCTGTTCTCCCTCCTGACGGTATGGGAGGCTCCCGTGAGTTACCACCGTATAAGTGGGGTGAGCCGGGGTGGCCGCACGGCTTCGGGGCACGGGCCGTCCTCCCAGGGCGTCTCGGGCGGCCGGGGCCGCCAGGGTCCCGGAGCCGTGCGGCGACGTCGAGGACTTCGAGGTCGCCGCCGGGTCGGTCGCCGCGCCGCCGCGGGAGCCCCCCCAGGGAGCAGGTCCAGCGCCGATCCAAGCGGCGGCAAGCGAGGGGGGACGTGAGAAGGAGAAGGCCCTCTCCGCAGGCCGAAGGGCTTCCCAGGAGCCCTTCGGCCTTCTCGGAGACATGTCCTGTCTTCGGGGGGGAAGCTTAGAGAAAACTTCTCTCGGAAGGCCAAGGGGGTCTTCCCCCCCACTTCCCATATTTTCCCATATTTTCTGGGGCATCGACGATGAATTGTGTCTGTGTGTTTTTTCCCCTCCTGGATGCCATCCCCCCCCCCCCTGGTCCTCACCCCCCCCTTGGCCGCCCCCCAGCAGACGCGGAAAACTCGAGGACCACTGCCGGGACTGCGAGAGAGCAGCACGCC